ATACCTACAGGTAACATTATAAGGACTGAACATATTATATTTAGGAATATCTATGTATATAAATGTAGATATATTTGTAAAGTAGCAATTAATTTAAAAATAAGCCATTAAATTGAAGGAGAGCAAAGAAATTATATTGCAGAATTTGGAAGGATAAGGGGGAAAGGATATATGTTTTAGTTATATTGTGATCTCCAAAATATAAATTAAAAAGAATTGAAAACTAGATCCTCTAAAATACTATCAAACTTAAGTGAAGAATCATATAATATAATGCAATTGAGAATATCACATATAGAGGAGCAAGAAAAGTGCTCAACTCAATAAACAAATAACACAGATGCTAGTTTTTTCACATGTACCTACAGAAATAATATAAAAAATATAGTTGCCATATAAGCATAAAAATTGTCCTAAGAATACATAATTTTCCTAGTGGAGACCTAGAATACAGTGAACTTGTAAATACTTTAAATAATATAATTATAATATTTTATAAAATATTTAAACTATTCATGAAGACTATTGAAAACAATAAAATTATCATCAAAAACCATTAAATTAAAGTAAGTTGAATATTATTGCTAAGTGTACTAAAAATGAAATGACACACAGTTATCTCTCTAATTTATGTGTGAATTTTTGTTTCTTCAAGGGTATGAAGAAGCTGATATTCACTATTTTCCTAAGATTTTTAGTTCATTTAAATTTTTAGAACTGTGAACAATGTCTTTGTTTTTTGTTTTAATTTCATCTTCTCTCTATGCCTATTCTCATTAGTTTCAATAATATAATATGCTTTCTCTACGTCAATATTAATTTGATTTATTTTAGTGCTTTATTTTTGTATTAAGCCATTTAGCTTGTTTCTCCAAAAAAGAATATTTATATGATGTCATTAATTTGTTTACACTCAAACAAATGTGAAATCTGGAGGATTATTAAGAATAATATCTAAGAATAATTAAATTATGCTATCTGTTTCTCTCTGTGAAAGTAGAAATGTGAGTGGAAAGGAAGTATACATTAAATTATTAGATTTTTTATAGAAAAAATAGATCTGGTGGCAAAAATATAATAATTGGTTTATTTATTATGGATATCCATAAATATGATTGTCTTATCTATAGTCAGAGTTACTCTTTCTTTTAACATATGAATTTCTGATAAATATAAAAATGTTATGCTCATATATAATCTTGCATTCAGCTTTTATTTATAACACAAAAATACGTTGTTAGTCACGGTCTTTTCTATATTTTTTCTGAGACAATAATGAAAACTCAGATATCATTATGTACCTTTGGCCATTGTCAAATGATTAAAATTATGTTAATCCTGAAAGATCCTTTATAAACTAGAAAGAGTAAATTAGCATTGAGATGTAAATTTAGTGTAAAAAAATTGACACAATAAAAGCCAGATATCTACATAATTTTCAGTCACCCTCTCATGCTTGCCTGTACTTATGTAGATATCTGCCTTTTCCTTATCCCACACATTGCTGAATGGACCTATAGATTATTACCTCTCAGTACTACTGAGGATGATGAAAGCAATTTCAGTTTACCTGGGTTTCAAGATTAAAGAAAGACAGTCAGTTCTTCCCTAGATTTCAAGAGAAAACACGGTTTTGAGGAACACAAAAAGATGGGGAAGCACTGTGACCCTGTGGAGAAATATGGTCACAAAGAACAGAATCAGGAAAGAACCTACTACCTGTATAAAGCAAATAAGTAGACAGTCACCAGCAGTCTACCCATAGTCTCCATGGCCCTTGGGGTTTAATATCCAGAGTTCCTCATTAGTCAGACACTTCCATTCCCTTGTTATTAGAGGGCAGCACAAATGTTTATGGAGAAACCCAAATAAAGGTAAACATTGCTTTGGTGAACTCTTTGGGACATAAAAGCCAAGTGGATACCTTCTCCCTCCTGCCTATTTTTCATCACAAGAAATTCAGTTATCCTTTACAAATGTCAGATAATCTTTCCTTGTCACTGAACTATCTACATTACCCTATCTTTACAACAATATAAGAACTACAGAAAATATAGTTACTCTTGTAAAGAATATATATGTATGTGTATGTGTGTGTGAGTGTGTGTGTGTTAAATACAAGCAATAGAGAGGAAAATGTGCAAACTTTTTATTTTTCATTTTTAATTAAAAATGCAATTATACTGCTTGCCTTCTTTCTTCCTTCAAACCCCTCCAATGTAACCCCACTCTCAAGTTGATATCTTCCTATTTGACTATTAATGTGCAAAAATATATAAATAAAGCATGCTGAATCTGTAATGTCATTTGTGTTTACATGGTTTAAGGGGGAAAATTTTGTATAGATTAACCAAGCAGAATGCTTAGCCCTGGGAGAGGCTAATTCTCTTTCTCTCAGTAGTTATTGGTTGCCTGTACTTCTTTGCCCAGACACAGACCCCATGGTATTTTTTTTCCTTCTGTTTTGGTATATATTTGTCATTGTTTAAGTCTTCTTTATTCAGTCATTTTTATGGGAAATAGAATCACAGCAGATTTTCTATAAACCTGACTTTTAAATTTAATAAGATCATTTATCCACAACATTCTCTGAGATACAGATGGAGAAGCAATGATGAAGGTATATTCATTGAGGTTATCACCACAATCTATTCATCTTAGGACTGTCTTCTGTTGTAGTTTTCCCTAGGGGTTTTGACTTGATGGAGAGAGAATCATTGACGAAGAATGAGAGCTAGATTTTAAGTAGAATCTCTGTCAGCCAATGATGTTTAAGAGGTTGGACCAGTTTAGTTTACTTGGCCTTTTGGGTACCTAGAGAAAATCTTCTGTTCCACCCAGGGCGCTCTCTCTCTCTCTCTCTCTCTCTCCCTCTCTCCCTCTCTCTCTCCCTCTCTCTCGTTCCCACACTATACAGCTGAGTTTGGACTTCTCATTCCTGTTTTGTGAGTTTGTCCCTTATAATAAAGAAAATAAAATTGGTCTGTCTTGTAGTTAGTCTGGGATTCTTTGACCCGCATCTTTCAACATAAATTTATGTATGAGTATAGGGATAAGATTTAAAATACAGTTAAGGAATTATGCAGACAGGAAATCTAGCAGCAGTAGATTCTCTGCTAGAGCCTATGATGTCCCTACTCCAAGTAGTTGACTAAATTCCATGTAGCAACATGGTTTTCCTGTGATTAAAAGGTCCTTAAGTCCAGTTAAATAGCTGTTGGTTACCACCAACATTTAAGTGCCACCACTGCACTTTCTTAGTTTTAATTTTTATCAATTCTTCATTCATTTTTGTAACCTTGTCAGTTTCTCCTCCCTCGTTGCTCTCCATTTGCTCCTTCACAGCTTTCCTTCTCCCATCACTCTTCCTCCTTTCTCTTGCAAAAAGGGCAGACCCTTCATACATATTCACCAACCACAATACAACAACTTGCAGTAAGACTAGGTTCTTCCTCTCCCATTAAGGCCCACAATGATTTTCCTTTTAGGAATATCTTGCCATGATTGTCATTGTTATGGTTCATAGGGTAACAGCCAATGAGGATTTTTAATTGCAGTCCTTCATAGGGAGCTGGTATAATACTTTCTGGTATTATGGAAGGTAGGTTGTAACAACAAAAGACCAGTTTAGAAGTAACTCAAATAATCTTGTTCCTTATTCTATATGTGCAGTGACTTAAGTGATATAGGCTTACTGTTGACCTCTGAGAGGCATCAGTGGACAACAACAATAGTCTATATTGTTTGAGGAGCCATTAGGACTATATTGACCAATCCCACAAAGTTGAGTTTTCTCATGCCTGGTATTGTGATCTTTGGTAATCTATGATGCTTGTGTAAAGCATTTCAGCTCAAGTGACATAATTTCATGTACTTTATATATTTTATATATTCATGTATATGTATACCCTTAAATGTGTTATATATAATTTTAGGTAAATATAAAATAATATAATTCCTGAAGGATTTGTGAAACAAGGTAAGTGCTATCTTTACTCCTCCTTCATTCATTTATATTGATATCCTTGCTCCCTCTCCAGGTACAGTTCCTTCCTTATTTTAACATTTCACCATCTGGATCCTATCATTTCACTTTCAAGCCACTATCCACAGAACATTTATAATTTTCTACTTTCATGGTATCTCCACATTATATACCCATGTCCAAAGATTTAGAGCTAGAACCCATAGCTTCTAACAGTTTCAGAACATTAAAATCTTTGATCGGTTATATGCTTTCTCCAACCAGAAATATGTGGATCTAATCTAGTCCTCTACTGTGAATATTGAGTCTCCCTGTATTACTTGTTGAAAGAGTTCTCATTCTATAATGTATTTTGACATCTTTGTCATAAACTAAAATGATTGTAAACTTGTGATGTTATTTCAGAGGATCTCCATTAGACTCCAAGGCACTGCATGTCTGCTATTGTCCTAGTTACATATTACCTTTGTCACCTAGATTCTGTACTATAATTTGGGATGTATATTGTGATGCCTAGAATTACTGGGCTTTCCTATATTGATTTTAAAATTATTTTCTGTTATGTCTTTTTTAGAATTGTTTGATTAATTTATTCACATATATAATTTTCAGTGCTCCCATCATTTTATAGTAATATATCCCTGTAGCTACCAAGGTCCTTTCTCCCTCTCCTGATGATTCGCAGGGCCATGTGACCTCCGGCTCCCTGGAGATTCTGCTCTAGCACTGGCTTGAGGGGATAACTTAGCAAGAACCTGGCTCTCTTTGTTATGGTGATTCCACCTGTATTCAAGGTTTTAGCAGTGGGCCCATAGCCTGCCTCCCCTAGCTGATTCTGCCTGAGGCGCCGGAGGCCTTTAATCTTCTCCTTCTGCTCCTGGATGGGAGGAGGCCTTGCCCTTTTTGATCCCCCTGCCCACTTCTATAAATACCCGACTTGAGTTTAATAAAGTTGCCATTTACTCCGGTAAATGAGCAAAGGTTTCTTTTTGTGTGTGTCTCTTTTAACCCTCAGGACAATCGTCCATTCTCGTGGGCCTGAGTTCGGGAAAGCGTGCGCCTGGTTTGGGTGTGGATGTCCACTGAAAAGTGCGGGGTCTTACAGATGGCGTCCTCAGGTCGGCTTTGAAGAAAAATTGAAGAATCGCGTCCTGCCGTCAGTGGATTCACCACGAGAACCCCAATAGAGGTGAGGGTCCCCCCATGATCCGGAATCTGGCCAGTTTTGTAATGTGCAATTGTGCACGTGTGATAAGGGGGTGAATAGTTTGAATAGTTTGATTTTTAGGAAAATGGGTGCTGAAATGTCCACTCCGGAGTTAGAAGGGCAGTTAGCAGATCAGCTACTGCAGCTCGTGGAAAAGCTAGGCACCAGGATCAAAGGTGACACAGCACAAGGGACCATCAAGGTAATTTCAGAGCTCAGTCCTTGGTTCTCTCTGACTGGGAACCTTAATATCGAGGACTGGGAACAAGTTAGGGCTGATCTACGTGTTGCACAGAGAGAACGGGGAACTAAAGCCGTCCCCCTAGCGATCTATTCGCTATGGCGTCTTATCAGAGATGCCCTCCATAGTGAAGATGTTTTAGTGAAGGAACAGTTAGAGGTTTTGAACAAAACCCTTGAGAAAATTCAGAAAGTAGAATCTGTGAGCTCTATCAGGAGTTTTGAGGATCAAGAAGTCAAAAGCATTGATAATTTAGATGAAGAAGAGGAAATATTAGAAGGCGAAATCACACTTCTAACCAAACAGCTAGAGAAGGAGGAAGGTGGGGCCACTAGCAGAGATGCCCCCATTAGGTCTCCTCCGCAAAGAGCATTTTCTGCTGCCCCAAACCATTGTGTTACAGCTTTCGCCCCTGTTAATCTGGAGGCGGGAGCTCGAGAGTTTTCAAACAGGCCTGATAATCTCGGTAGAGATAGGTCGGTCTATCCTACTGAAGGAACTCTTGGCCAGCAAGTACTTAGTATCAGACAGCCTGACTCTCTGACCTTTAAGATGGTCAAACAATTAAAGGAGGCGGTCGTTGCTTACGGTGCTCGCGCTTCCTTCACTGTGACATTGCTGGAGTCCTTCCTTAAGTTCAACCTTACGCCCAGCGATTGGATACAACTTTGCAAGGCCTGTCTCTCTGGGGGTGAATTTTTACTGTGGAGAGGTGATTTGCGAAGGATTTGCAAGGAATCCTCAGGGCTTAATGCCGCCGCCAGTTTCTCCCAGCATGACCTTGATGTGTTACTTACAGGGGGTCAATATTCTGATCTCACAGTGCAAACCACTTACGATCCCGCAGTTTGCACTCTAGTGGCTGCCGCGGCGATAAAGGCCTGGGCATCTCTACCAGTTGAAGGAACAGGAGAACTACTCTCAAAAATTGTACAGGGACCTACAGAGTCTTATTCTGCATTTATAAACCGCCTCTTAGAGGTGGGCAGCCGTACTCTTGGGGATATTAATTCTTACTTGCCAGCAGTAAAGCTATTAGCCTATGAAAATGCTAACAGGTCTTGCCAGGAAGTTTTGCGCCTGCATAGAAACAAGGACCTGGATGATTTTATTCATCTGTGCAAAGGCGTAGTTCCTTCTACTGTGGTGGGACAGGTGGTCACTTCTGCCCCTAGGGAGGTTGCAGCCAAAACTGGTTCAAAAAATTGCTTTCAGTGTGGGACATTTGAGGGCACATAGCGATCTTCCTGGCCCCCTGAGTGAAGGCAATGCCTTGGCTGATGAACTCACTCGCCAGGTTTATACAGTTAGTCAAGAATCTTATGAAGCTGCTAAGAAAGCTCATAATCGCTTTCATCTCAATGCTGGGTCTTTGAGATTTCATTATAAAATATCTCGGGAGCAAGCCACTGATATTGTTAAGAAGTGCCCTTTATGTGTAGAACTTTTAACTGTTCCTCATTTGGGAATTAACCTGCGTGGGCTGGCTCCCAACCATTTATGGCAGATGGATGTTACCCACGTTCCTTCTTTTGGATGTTTGCAGTATGTTCACGTAACTGTGGACACATATTCACATCTTATCTTCGCCTCAGCTCATACAGGAGAAAAATTACGGGATGTTAAAAGCCACTGCCTGCAGACTTTTGCCTACATGGGGGTCCCTAAATCTCTCTAAATGGACAATGGACCAGCCTATACCAGTGCTGGTTTTGCTAAGTTCTGCCAGGAATTTCATATTTCTCACAAAACTGGTATACCCCATAACCCCCAGGGGCAGGCAGTCATAGAGAGGACCCACCGCACTCTTAAGGCTTATCTGCACAAAACTAAAAGGGGGGATTACAGTTCTACCCCCAGAGAGCATCTATCGTTCATTTTATACATTTTAAACTTTCTGACTGTGGATGCTGGCTCCCGTATGGTGGCCGAGAATCATTGGCAGCCTAGCTCCCCCGGGAAACCCTTAGTGAAGTGGAAAAATCTGGCAAACAGCACTTGGTGTGGTCCGGACCAGGTCTTAATTTGGGGCAGAGGAGCGGTTTGTGTGTTTCCACAGGATACAGAGCTTCCGATCTGGGTCCCTGAACGTCTGGTGCGGACCGTGGATTCCTCTGTTCAGAAACCTGAGGACGAGGCGAGATCAAGAGATCCCACGGACACGGCGGCGGAGGTGGCGGCGGAGTTGGCAGATTCCTGAGAGATGATCCAGCGCCTGATTTTACCCCTTTCCCAGCTTTCTGTCACTCTGCCTGATCTGTCCCTTTCAGCCAAGGCTGTTTGACCCCCTGAGGGGAAAACAGCTACTTCCCCTGCCCTGATAGCAGCGTTGGGTGCTCAAGGCTAAAACCTTGCCAGATACACAGAATTACCATACTATTCAAAGTATCTAAATTCACAATCGGACGTTGTAGTCAATCTTTACAACTGGGTGTGGATTTTGACCTCTGCTGGTCGCAGGTTAAGATTTTGCTGCTTTTTCTCGGACCCCGGAATACAAAATTACTAATTGACTCTAATTTAGCTTGACAAGTCATACCAGGGGTCCCATTTGCCAGTGCTGTAGCCCTACTCAAGGGCTCTATTCTGAGCCAACGTTTCAGATATTGTGCAAGCACTGTCTCTTCCAGGAATGCTTATGTATACGTACGCTGGAGTGTCTTCACCTGGTCAGTGGCTTCAGGTCCGCCACGGCCTGGCCCTAGTAGGCGTTCGCCTTGGAGTATCTTTCAGCATAAAACTGGCTGAATGTGTTGGAGGATGGCATTAACCAGAGACGGGTCTAGATCACTGGGCAGGTTTTCCAATCTAAGACAGGGAGCGTCTGGACCTGAGGCATCATCCTGAAGACGGATCCGGATCTGTCCTGGCTAATTCCCGGTGATGCCTAAGACAGGTTTTGTCATCATATTTTATATATATTTAAAGGGAGACTTGTAGCTACCAAGGTCCTTTCTCCCTCTCCTGATGATTCGCAGGGCCATGTGACCTCCGGCTCCCTGGAGATTCTGCTCTAGCACTGGCTTGAGGGGATAACTTAGCAAGAACCTGGCTCTCTTTGTTATGGTGATTCCACCTGTATTCAAGGTTTTAGCAGTGGGCCCATAGCCTGCCTCCCCTAGCTGATTCTGCCTGAGGCGCCGGAGGCCTTTAATCTTCTCCTCCTGCTCCTGGATGGGAGGAGGCCTTGCCCTTTTTGATCCCCCTGCCCACTTCTATAAATACCCGACTTGAGTTTAATAAAGTTGCCATTTACTCCGGTAAATGAGCAAAGGTTTCTTTTCGTGTGTGTCTCTTTTAACCCTCAGGACAATCGTCCATTCTCGTGGGCCCGAGTTCGGGAAAGCGCGCGCCTGTGTCGGGTGTGGATGTCCACTGAAAAGTGCGGGGTCTTACATATCCCTAATTTTATTTCTCAAGTCCATTTCAGTATTTTAATGTTCTCTGATATGCTCACCAATTTACCTCTTGTGAGAGAATTGGGTTGTCCTCAGCAGCCAGTTAATACATTTAAAATAACTTTAATATTTAGATGTGGAACTTTTTATGGATACATGCTTTTATTTCTATGTGATACACAATAGAAAAGAGAAATATAAGTTACTAGTTAGATACAGGACTATTTGATTCAAAACTGTCCAATGTGATTTTTAACATGATTGCACAATTCGGTATAGTTAACAGAGCTGTATTTAAAATTACATTTTTTCATACCTGTGTTAAGCATATTACTGTTAGTTTTTATTTTTATTTTTTATTAGAGCATAATCTTTGAAACAAAACTCTAGGTTTCACTAGGACAATGTCATATATGCAAATGAGACATTGTGTTCATACTCATTCTTTTGTTTAAGTTTGTCATCCCTTCTCACAAGTCATTGCATTTTTTAAAAGTTTATATTTTATTATTCTAATTTAATTTACATTTCACTAATAACTAATGAAGCTAAGGATCCTTTCATGTGATTCTTTAGCAAAAATATACTTTATTTAAATTTCCAAAAATTTTTATTTATTTATTTACTTTCTTATATTTTATTCCTGTTTATGTAGGTAGGATGCCTTCAAGTATTTGAGATATGTTTTTACTTGTTCAGCATTATCAAACTGGGCTTGCTTCTTATATGAAGATTTTCATTGTCAAAGAGAAATTTAGTGCAAAAATACACATGTAACAAGTAATTTTTTGAGCAAAATTGAAAGAAAATTCATGGTTGACATGATATATTTAAATGAACAGATTTAAATTAAAAGTGACAACTAAGTGAGTAATATTTTCATGCCCTTTTTACTTATTTTGTGAACTTTATTACATACATTCACTCTGAAAATTAGCAGACTAAGAAAGCCAAAGACAGTGTTTGAAATATTGAGACAGAGAAAACAAAATTCATAGCAACAATATAAATGAAAGAAAAGGTTTCTCAGCAATTTAGGGTTGTACTTATTTAATGTTGTCCTCATTAGATCCAATTGCTGCAATAAGCAACATGACCAAAGCAACCTGGGAAAAACATTTAATGCTTATAGGATAGTCTGCTATGTTCAAAAGTCATGGCAGGAAGTCAATATAGGACCTAGAGACAGAAGCTGAAGCAGAGGCAACAGAAGAAAGCTGTTTATGAGGTTACCATCCACTGTGGGCTCTACCCTTAAATTTCCAAAATTAATCAATAAATATCACCAAGAAAACATACACAGTCAATCTAATGAAGGAATTTTTTTCAAGAAATTCCTCCATTCAGACTATTTTAGATTGTTTAAAATTGACAAAACTAATCAGAATAAAAGTTTCATAAAAGTCTTGAATTTGATTAATTTGACTTAATGTAGAGTTGTAGGTTAAATAACTAGGTATTTAAAATATCACACAGGGCCCTTTTGGAGTACAGATTTAGGGTAATTTTAAATATATTCATTCTATAATCACTCAAAAACAATCAATAAATAATCCATTAAAACATTTCAATGATGCATAAATAAAAAAAAACTCTAAACATTTTCTAAGAAAACATCATTACACTTACAAAGAAATAGAATAGAGACAGAACAATGACACCAAAATAAATACACTATAGACCAATTTCTTTATTGAACATAGACAAAATGATTCACAAGAAAATAGTTGCAACCTGAATCAGGAACATCAAAATAACCACACATTATGAAGAAATTGGCTTCATCCTAGAGATATGTGATGTTTCAAAATATGCAAATTAATCAAGGCAATGCACCACTTCAATAGCCTTAAGATCAAAAACATAGTGTCATCTCAATGGATAAAAAAATGCCTTTGAGAGATACAACACTCCTTCCTGGTTGTGGTGATTCATGTTTTTCTGATACTCTTGCCTTTGAAGAGAATAAATTTTTGTCTGATCTTACACTCATGTTAATATTATGTTTTGAGATCATTTGAAACTATAGAGTTATCCTTCTGCCTTGTGTACTCAGCCTATTGAAGTTTAAGCTAGGTAAAAATTAAGTACTACAGCTGACCTAAGAGAACATAGCAATATAATGACTCTTTAATACATTCTGCTGTACTCAGACCACTACCTCCCTCTTGTAGTAAATGACATTGAATAAATAGAAGCTCCCTAATAAAATGAAGAAAATGAGAGACATGGAACATTCATTCTAAACATGACATCCCCATAGATCCCTCCCCTAAGAGCTCAGGGAACTCTGCAGAAGAAGAAGCAGAAAGATTCTAAGAACCAGAGAGACGGAAAACAACAAGATAATGTGGAATTTGAATTTCCCTCTGTATGCTGTGAATACCATTGATTAATAAAGAACCTGCTATGGGCCTACTGCATCACAGAATAGGGCAAGACAGGAATCCAAGCACATAGAGGAGGAGAGAGTAGGTGGAGTTAAGGAAGAAGCCATGAAGCTGCTGCAGGACACAGATGCCCAACAAAAAGCAGGAAGCAGCTTGGAGAGAACTATGCCCAAATTTCCTAAATGTTAGTTTATAAACACTTACTTACATTTAAAGAATATGCTTCAGAGAACAATATTTATATTTATACTTAAAGGATATACTATTGAGAACAATACTTTTGTTATATGTATATTTTCACACTATATTAAGGTTTTGTGTTTGTTCAGTTCATTTAAAATGTAATGTGTAATTAAGAAATACAGGATAATAAACAGTTATCTATAGTAGTCAAGCTTGTAGTTATATTAGTTAGATTTTTTAGATGTACAGAGATAGATTTCACATGAATAGTTATTCTTCAAACCTTTTGAAGACTGACAGAATATGGCATTTAAAATGTTTTAAGAAGTTAAAACTCTTCATGACAATGAGACAAATCTGTCTTGGCAGCACATATTATTTCAAGAGGATGTTGGGCATCAAAGACATTCCTTATATAGTTGGTTAGCCATTTGGGCAAGAAACTGCTCTTGCCTAGATTGCTTGATGTTATGCAGCATGAACTGGACATGCAGGACCAAAATAAAAATGACTGCTGAAGTTGCCTAAAGGTTTGAGGTGGTTCTTCAGGGTTCCTACTTCATGAAAGAACTGCCAGACATTTTGCAGGACACAGAAGAAAGCATTTGATGAACTTTGACATTTTAAGGCAAAACAGATCTTCAAATTACCTTCTTTATGAAAAATCTGCCAGATACCATTGACCTGTAGGCTGAAGAGAGATGCCCCAATGTTATAGAACTTTGGGTGACTATCCAGGTAGCAAGATGTCTCTGTAAATTCTAGAACTTTGGAAGTTGCTTACACTTCCTGTTAAATTAGATAATACTGTATCCTTTAGGAGTCTTTGGTGGAGTTGAAGAATAGATATAGTTATAGTTATAGAATAGTTATAGTTATACTCTTCCTTAGTTATGATAAAAGATAAAATATATATAAATATTGGTACTGTAATTCTTGCTTGATAACTGTTTTGTTGTATATAATTTTACTATGTTAAAGTTAAAATCTTTTTGTTTTAGACAGAAAGGAGAGGTAATGAGGGATTCTGTTCTGTATGCTGTGAATACCTTTGGTTAATAAAGAAACTGCTTTGGGCCTATTGCAGTGCAGAATAGGGCAAGGTTAGAGAATTCCAAGCAGATGGAGAAGAGAGTTGCTAGAGTAAAGGAAGAAGCCAAGCAGCTGCCACAGGAGACAGACACTTGATGCCAGACAGAACTTTACCGGTATGCTACAACCACATGGCAATACACAGATTAATAAAAATAGGTTGATTTAAGATATAAGAGCTAGCCAATAAAAAATGTAACATAATAGGCCAAGTAGTATTGTAATAATACAGTTTCTATTAGATTATTTTGGGTCTGGGTTGCCAGGAAATAAATGATGTGGCCTCTGCCAACATCAATCAAGGCCTCTTAAGTACTGTAGGACCAATGCACATATGAACCCACAGAGATTGTGGCTACATCTACAGGGCTTGCATGTTTCTGGACCAACTGGTTTCCCAGTTCTGAGAAAAGAAAGTGGACACAAGTCTCTACATTTAAATTGATAATTGTTCACAAATTAAAGCTTAAGTGTTTTCCAACAAAATCCCACTCTATCTACAAATGATGCTTAAGGGCAGGTCCATTGTACAGCAGTTGAAGCACAACACAAATAGAACTTAACGGCATATTTTGAAGTTCTTTGTCTCATGCTTTGTCAGGGTATTTTTATTAACTTTATTTTTCCTTTGGGTTTATATTATGATTTCCAGTTTTGCGTTTTATAGGATTCTTGTATGTGCATAAGTGTACTTCTCTGTATCTATATGGGTTTTTTATGCTCTTTCTTTGACTCTTTCTTTCTCTTTTGTTTGTTTGGCTGTTTTTTTCTATTATGGGTTTTTTCTTGTCTTATTTTATTTTTTTCTTATCTTATTTATTTTTTGGATACCTGTTATCTCAAACAAGAGATAAAAAGTATATGAATTTAGAAGAGAGGAGAGGTAAGGAATATCATGACAAAGTTATGAGATAAAAAAATTTTTAGTAACAAC